ACAATTAGCTTTTTCCTGCACACCTCTCAAAGCAAATGTGAATTAGGTAAATATTTTTCTCAAATGTAATCATTTCTTCTTTTTCTCACCCTACAGACCAATCTCTATTCTCCGCCTCTGTTCCTCTTCTCCCTCTTCTCTCTCTGTTCTTCTGCTGCCCTTCCATGAGTCCCTCCCTCATAAACTACTTGATATTCAGTTCAGGGAAGCTGCAGGCAACATTGCTCGAGCTCCCTGTACCGCTCCTGCCGCAAGGACTAGACTTTTTATCCCTGTGCGCCTGATAACCAGACACTTCTACATTCTCCTGTTCAGCTCTCGTCTGAAAACTATGCATCCAAATGGATTCACTTAAAACGCAAAACTCACAAAGAGGTTTAACCTTCTCCTCCCTGACATCTACTAGTCTCTGCAGAGCTCTATGCAATAGACAACACTGATCATCACTGACAAGGCATCAGACATGTTCATCTTAAAAGCACAACTTGGAACAGCTAAAAACAAATTCTTTGTTTGGAGTTTATATATAACCTGTAAAGTCTATCAAAATTTGTTTAAAAAAAAATCCTATCCCAGACTGTGGATTCTACAGTATCTTCACTGCAACAGGTGTGCCCAAACCTTATCCAACCAAGATATTCTTCTCCGGCAACCAGTTTCCAGCCATTACATTCAGGTCATGATCACATATCAGTACTGTAGGCAGAAGCATGTTGCCGTGCGACAGGTAATCAAAAACACAGCCATGCTGACTGGACATGGTAAGCTGGCATTATACAGTGCTTTTTTGGACCCTCAAATATGTTTCTAATGTGATTATTCATTCACTCCATATACTGTGGTGATAAACTATACTTACTTTTGTAGCTACAGCTGCCCTGAGGCACAAAGCGAGGTTACAAGCATGTGCCATCATTATCCCTCCGACCACTGCCAAACATTCATACACACACCGTCATAGGTAATGTCGGTGAATATGCCCCACTGTGAGCCCTGGAGTTCCCAGAGGTCTCCCGTCACACACTGTCTTTCACACTGTCTTTCACACTGTCTTTCACATGCAGGTGGCGCAAAAATAAATCCATAATCTTTTGAAGTGTTGAGCCTAATCATAAAGCTGTTTTAATCTAAAAAACTACATTTTCATTAATTCACAAAGTTACATTGGTGCTGTGTGATTTTTGTTTGATACAATAGTTCACTTTACCCATTTCCTTGACTTTCACTCCTATTTCAAATCATTTTTTTTTTAATTTCAACTAGGGCTGTCATTACATTTTTCATGTACACGTAAAAAAAAAAAAATAACACATGTCCGAATGACCCGCCCAGTTATCCCTATTATCACTCAGAATGCCGCGCCACAGGACTATTCTCTGCATGTTGTGTTCGTGTCTTTGCAACCTGTGCATAACCTGTGCACGCAAATACCATGTCTCCTCCTGAAAACTAAACTAAACTCGCTAAATTAAAGCTGGGGTACGTACATTTTCCCCTTTCATTAACAGCTCATTTTGGTTGTGCCCAAAAGTAAAAGGTTGTGAGCAAATCTAACAGATTTAAGTACATTTGACAACGCGTCATTATATTTGATAATCTCATTTAACTTCAATTGGAGTGGATTTGAAATAGAATGTTACTTTTGGGCACAACCAAAATTTGCTGTCAATGAAAGGGGAAAATGTACGTACCCCAGCTGTAAAACAGAAATAACACTTTTCATTTCCTATGCAGCACTTCACTTTCAGGTTCCAGGAAACCCTTTGGGTATTTGACGTTTACTTCTTGTCCTTATAACCAAACCACCCATTTTATATTAAAGATGTGCTTGATGATTGGCCAGATGCTTCCCCTCATCCGTAGCCTGCTTGACCACAGACGCTAATAGACGCTGGCAGTCTAAACATCCACCAGTGTAATGAGAGGAGTAAGTGAACGGCATCAACCATTAAACATACGCAAGCTAATGCCAGAAACCTGCAGGGCCTCTCCTCTGGCTGCACTCTTGTCCAATGGATTAAATGTATTTGACAGAACACTTTGCTAGGCCAGTTCTGCACTGTTACAGACAAGATGGGCAGGCATGATCAGAAAAGACATGCTTGGAGCTGCAGTGTACATCACATAATGAGGATTGTTTCCACATTAGATACCAAATATCAGCTTGAATAAAAAACAAAAACAAATTGGTGATGGTCTGTATGTGATGATCTACAACGATAAAGACAATTGTATGCATTTTTTTTTACTTTGCATAAGGTTCTAAGAATATTTCGTCCATCCATGTGTTTGCTTTAACCTGGAAACTGGAACTACCCGTTTTTATACAGACAATTTTTTTGCTGCAGGATTTTCTAATACTGTTTTCCCTTCATTTTAGTATGCTGTAATCAAAACCAGCTGAAGTTGCCCCATAATGAAAAGTCAAATTGGCTCATCCATGGCACCACCGCTGAGGGAGCACAACTTATCTTAATGAGCATCTAGCTAGCTATTATCTGCTACGAACCCCACCAACATGTAAGCACGATTACCGCCCCACCCTTTGGCTTTCGCGCACACACCAACACTCCTTGTTATCAGCACACTTTCCCCTTTTAAGCTCTACTGCAGACAGTGTAACCACATTGGACAGTAATTGTACCTCTCGCTCCTTCCTAATTGAATTGACAAGAAGCCGGAATTGATATCATTTAACACATTGATCTCAGAAGATCGTGCACACAGACTAACCCCCTATCTCCTTGACACCTATTGGCCCTCATTTACCAAACTTGTGTAAGGCTATTTTTTGTATATGCATGTATATACAGTATATATATGTATATGTATGCATATCTATATATATATCACTATCTCTATCTATTTGAAATGCTGCACCATTCATCAACACGACCGATGCGCTCTGATGTTACGTCTGATTGATTTTTTTCTTTTTTCTTTTTTTAAAGTAAGATGCCTTGTCATGGGAATTTAACTGAATAAAACAAAATTGACCTTTTTTCAATAATTGGAATATAGTGTATCCTGTACTTTTAACCACATTAAAGGTGTCAGCCCATAGTCATAATGGAATTTTACAAAATTGCAGGAATGTTACATTGGGAAGTAGGCCTGCATTAATTCATTCCAAATTTGCTCCTAATAAGGATGTGCCATTTGCCATTTAGAAACTTAGATACCTATATTTTTTGCGAACTCTTTCCTTAAAATAAGAGCTTCTGTTAATGTTGTACATAACTTGCATTGGGCTCAGATTAAGCAGCAGTAGCAGCTGTACGGTGTTGACTCAAACATACGATGTTGACTCAAACACATAGCTGCCACGGGTCCTGGTCCAGCCTGTTGTTCTGCTGCACTCTCCACTGTGCACTGCATCTGTAATAGAATGGTTATGGAATAAAGGAACTTCAGATCTGCTGTTCTATGACATACTGTATCCCGCGTATTGGTCCCAGCTGGGACAGAAACTCCTGCACAGTGACTGGGTTTGGTCTTGTGTCTGCATGTGCCTGGTGCTGAAGTTTTTAGCCCGGCCGTGTGCTGTTCCTTCCTCATGCTCACTGGTGCATGGTGAAACAATGGTGATAAACTGGAGTTACTGTATATCTTCAAATCGAATAACACATTTCTTCGTTCCATTTCAATTGGTATTTTATAAGTCCTCTTTATTGTTCTGTGCATATCTTGACAAGATGAAACAAAGCGAACACTTGATCAACAGTTCCGAACCACTGTGAGATCACATCATCACTGATCAGCTGCTGGAGTGGCCTGCAGAACACCTATGGGACCAGCTGAGTCCAGACTAGAGGCTTGTTACCTTGTCAAACGCAGGTGGTCATTAAACACCTGCAGTGTTTTTAAACATGTTGCCTGCAGACAACCTTTTTCAGCTGAGCCCTCTCCATTCCATAATGATGCGGTATTGGTATCACTCATAAAATGTCGCAATAAATTGCCATTTTTTCCTTTGTGCATGAATGTTTTCATAAATAACGTCCTGTTGTCAGACCTCAATATCAATGTGCAGGTATTTCTGGTAATGTCTATAATATATAGCTATATAAAAACAAATAACAAATAATTTATTATTAATATATGTTTTTTGATAAGGACAGAACAAAAAGCATTTTTACAGGTAACTGATGCCATGTTCATAGTCTGTATAGCTAACAGCTAATTTGCAGACCTTGTCCCTGGGACATAAAAATATGTCACATGAATGATTCTTTTGTCCCAATTGTCTTAAATAATGTAGTTAACATTTTTATTATGGAAATTATTTCATTTTGAGGCAAGGTCAAGCTAGTAATACAACCAACGGAACACGGATCCTATCTCTTTTATGGCTTTTCTCATTGCTCACTGCCTTTACGTTGATGACCTTGGAAACGGGAATTTATGGCGACCTGTACCACCTTTAACAAGCTTGCTAAGCTCTTACTGTGACGAATGAAGGGAATTTTGTAATATTGGATTTGCTTAATGGCTGTCAACCAAGTTTCAAGTTGCCCTCTGTATCAGATGTGAAAAGACTGAATCTGAAATTAAACAATGCTGTGATTGAAGCAATTATACAATTGAATATGTCTCTACATGTTCACAAATCGCCTTTCATTGTAAATCTTTCAGTGTATGCTTTGAATGATACAAATGAATCTAAACATTTTTGCAATCCACGGCTGTCATTTATTTGCATTTTCTGGATGAAAAGAGGCCATCTAGGGGACTTTTTGTTACACTGCTGCTGGCATTATTTTATAAATTCAAAAATATTAACTTGATTTCATCTGGAGATGGATATGTACTGCAGTCTCCATAGATCCTGACAGGTTGTCCCTTCGTGGCATAGTGACAATGAAGAGTCCCCTGTTGGGGGATTGAATCTCCCCAACAGGGCTAATGTACACATTTATACAATGGGGCCAGTGTGAGTGCACCCTAAGACATTTCACTGGAGCAGGGGTGGGCAAACCAGTCCTCAAAGAGCCGGTGGGATGCAGTCTCACCGGCCCTTTGAGGATCGCTTTGCCCACCCTGCTCTTGAGTGTAAGATCATGTAAAATTAACCAGGGCTGCAGCAATATTAAGTGTATTCCTCAGGTAAAATTATGTAGGAGGGAAATTTGTGTACTCGAGGTATTTGTGAACGTTTGTGGCAAGTCAGACGCTGCAGGTGGAAACAGTACTTGCACATATACTTGGAATGTGCATATATGAGCGTGGCCTTCTGTCTGTATGCACACACACAAGGTGCAGGGTCAACGTTGGTGCACTTCCCAGTGCAGCATCTCACTGCCGGGTGGACACAGATGCAGGTGAAGAATGCAAGTCTCCAGTCTCATAAAGCCCTAACCACAGAAAGCTGGTGTTTACAGAACATATACAAACATTGGATTTGGCAAAAGTGTAATAGATTCTTTAATTGGAACGTTACAAATCATTGATCCAGTTATCCTAAAATCTAACATGGGTTCTGTTATATTTGTTATAATTTTCCCAAATGTTGATTGAAAAAAAATGCAGTGTTTTATGGGATTCATATTTGTTTTGTTTCTTTTCTGTTTTACAGACTGGCAGAAAAGAAAAGGGTGACCCACTGAATTCAGCCATTGACAAGATGACCAAAAAAACCAGGGATCTGCGTCGACAAGTAAGTGCATCTTCTTACAGTATAATCTCATTGCTCTCATTTTTTTTTCCTAATAGTGAAGAACATTACAGCATAAGCAAGAAGTACTTTCTTTTACTTGAACAAAAATGTAATACTAGCAAGTTCAAGACTAATCAGCCAGTTTTGCTATTATTATGAAAATTGTAAAACATTCTTGTTGAAATGGTTGAAGGGCAACTATTGCAGTGGTGCATCAAATGAAAGTGAATATATTTACATAAATTAATCAATATAACTTTATTCATTTCCGAGATACAATTATTGCTGGTGTGCTGAACAATATAACATTCAACTGAATCTTAAAAGAGTGATTTCTGAGGTGCATTCAGATAATCAGGGCAGTTTGTGGATAGTAAAACCATCTATTCTAAAATCAAATGCTCTAAAAAATTCATATTGTATTCATACAGTAGTAGGATTTCCCAGCATGAGGAATTACAGTGGGCCAGGAAAATTGGTGATTCACATAAATTGGCTATGAAATAAAGTCTTAAATTAAACTAATTTACACTGTCTGTCATAACTAATATATTAGCGACACACTAAGGTAAAAAAAGAAAAAGAAAAAAAGACAAACTGCATGAAAAAGTAAAATAATCAAACATTCAACAATGAAATCTCCAAGATCTTCCCAGAGTCAGAAATCAACCAATTCAATCAAATTCTATCATAATAGCAAACCAATCTGCAGCTATTGGGCCTAATTATTCAGACGGTTCTTTATAGAAAATTTTAATATCAAACCTGCACAGTGATTTTTTTTATATTTACGGATCACCCCCGAACACGTTTTCAACCTTTTATCAGACATTTTACTTCCTGAAACCTTAAGCTCCACCAACCTCACTGTTCCATTCTCCATTGTACCTTCCATTTGCTAATGTTGTCCTCTCTAACCTCCAAGCATCATACCCTGATCGGGCTGACAGCAGGCCTTAAGTCTGCCTCCCGTCGGGCCCGTTTTGAAAAGTCTGCCTGACGGGCTCTGTTCTCACACTGACAGGATGCTCTATTGACTCAGGGCTCGGCTCAACAGAACAGAGCGGCCTGTTCGAGCTTTGATTCTTATGCAGGTGGCCAATAATGCGCAGAGCTTGCATTCCACGACACTGTAATTGTGTCAACATGTTTGGAGTTAAACGGTGCTGTGTAGAGACCTTCCAAGGGGGAGGAGCGCACGTTGTGATGTGTGCCTCTGTCTCAAAAGGGTGGGATCAAATATTAGAGGAGACAAGCAAAAGTGACAGACAGCCTTTGTGAAGTGGAAGCAGGTAAATCACTAGAGACGTGCTGCCTCTCTCTTTTTTTCATGCTGTTGTTTACACGGCAGACAATGCTTAAGCTGTCTGTAATCCCGGACAAATGCAAACCATGTCAGCCATGTCATTGCTGCCCCCATTTTTACTCTATTCACCTTCTTTTTTTGAGGATTTGTGATGTGCAAATTCGTCTTCCATATTTGTGTTCAAGAGAGGGCAAATCGACATACTGGCATACATAATTGTGTCTTGAAATTAGCAATACGTTTATTTGAGAACAAAGTTGTTCCAAACTATAAAAATATGTTTTTTGATGACATACACTGGCTCCTCTTAATGGCATTGAGTGCCTCTAGAAAGTATTAACACATTGGACCTTTGCATATTTTGTCAGGTTTAATAAACATTAATATCTTGTTTTTGATTGTTTCCTGAATGTTCAAACACAAGTAACAGGCAACTGTGAAGTGAAAGTACATTAGATAGATAGATACTTTATCGATCCCCCGAAGGAGAAATCCAGTGTCCAGTAGCAGCAAAAATAACAAAGAAAATTGATCATTCTAAAAAAAGATAACAATAGTAATAATCAGGTCACAGCAGCAGAGGTGGAGTAGCCTCTGGGTGGAGCAGGACAGATCAAAAGATGGAGTAGCCGCTTGGTTTGGACCATTGTCTCTGCTCTAGTCCAAAGTAAAAAGCTAAATGCTTCATTAGCATTTTTCAAAAAGTCAGCTTTCCTCCAGTGGATTTTCACCTGATCCGCATGGTTTAGACCATGAATCCTCTCTGCTCCGGTCTGGACCAGAAAAAAAAAAAAAAAAATTAATATTAATTTAATAAAAAATAAATTAATACATGATTTTGCTATTATTTTAAAAATAAAAACATAATAGAAAAATAAGGCATGCATAAGTGTTGATGCAGCTGTTTATTTGAAAGCATTAAATTGCATTCTTAATGACTGCTGAGTGTTCACACCTTGCCGTAATGGTTAAATGGAGGCCACTGTGTGTAATCTACTCTCAGTATAAATCTGCAAGGGCCTCAAAGCTATGGTTGGAGTGTATTAGTAAATAGCATTATGACGCCAAGGAGACGCCAAAAATCTCTGTGAGAACACAGAGAGGTCAGGGATGAAGTTGTGGAGAAGTTTACAGCAGCGTTAATTTATACTATATCCCAAGATTAGAACATCCAGGCTGTCTACCTAAACTAACAGACTGAACAAGGAGAGAATTGGTTGGAAATGTGCCACAAGATACAGTAACTATGAAAGAGGTGCAAAGCACTGCCGCTGAGTTTGGGGAATCTGACCATGGGACAACTGTCAGTCAGAAAACCATTATTGAAAGGAGGGCAAACAAAGGCCCATTTGAAGGTTACCAGAACTAATATGAGGGACACAGCTACCATGTGGAAGTAGGTGCAAAACTTTATGTATACTTTCAAATATGATTGGGGGAGCATCAAGCTATTGGGCTGTTTTTCTTCAGTGGGGCCTGGGAAAATAGTAAGAATTGCTAGGAAGATGGATGAAGCCAAGTACAGGGACATTTTGGAGGAAAACCTGCTAGAGTCAGCAAGAGAATTGAGGCTGTGGTGAAGATTCACCTTCCAGCAGGACAATGACCATAAACACAAAGCTAAATATACAATGGTTTAGAACTAAACATCTATTGATGTGTTAAATGGCCCAGTCAAAGTCCAGACGAAAATGCTCTCCATCTTACTTGACAGAGCTTGAGTTGTTTTGTAAAGAGGAATGAGCAAAAATCTCCATCTCTAGCTATGCAAATCCTGTAGTCATACCCTAATTGACTTGCAGCTGTTATTGCAGAAAAAGCGGTCAACAAAGTATTAACACGTGCTCGAATACTTATAGTATAATTTTTACTTAAATCTTAAGTAAGTAAGTAATCTTTATTTCTATAGCGACTTTCACAGAAGAGAGTCAAAAAGCGCTTCATGTTACTTGTGTGTGAACTAATAGTGAAAAAGTCCAGACAAATCTGTATATCTATGGTTGTTCAAGCTGCATTTACCATTCTGCAAGGCACTGTACATTGTACTCATCTATTTGAAAGGTACCGTATCATATCTATGCCTGATAGTGTTTAATTTTGAGTATGTCACCCATCACATTGAATGGATGACAAAGCAAACAATTACTTTGTATATCTATTATATCTAAAATTTTGATTAGAGAGTACTGCATTAAGAGTTGATTTTGTTTAAGCAATGTAAATTGAATTAAATATAGACATACCTTTTAGTCCCACACAAGGGTGGTTAGCAGTGTTAAGCGCTTCACAGCAAGAGGGTACTGGGTTTAGTTCCATGGGCTAGACAGGACCGAGGTTGGTATCGCTGGTTCCCCTTCCACTAGAAATATGTAGGTCGGAGTGAACGATTAATGATGTTCAGAGGACGGCAGGCATCTTATTTCCGTCATCACTGTGTGTGGAGTGACTGGAAAATACACCAAAAATATAGAGTACTTTTTAAATCTTGGTCTGTGAAATATGGTGTATAAGTACAGATTACTTATTTACGCCAACAAATCCATGGCATCAATCACATTAACTTGGAAAATTAAATAATCTGGACTAAAAATATCATAATTCAGTTGGCCAGTATTATTAGTTGAGATCTTCCCGGGGGAGTAAAGAAGTGTGTTGTGTGAACCACCGTTGACATTGCCAGCCTTCCTTTCAAGATGTTAGCAGTGCTTAAATCTTCAAAAAGGAGGTATTGAGATAACATTTTATGGCATAATGTGCAGTTCTACTTGTAAGAGGTGCTTGGGTCGCTCCCATAGGGCATGGGGCACATTTATGTTATGGTGGTTGCCTCAGAGTTTAGAGGGTCAATATAAAAGTTTTATTTCTGTAAATCAACCTGGCTGCTCACTAATGGTTTGAAAAGTGTAAAGCGTACACCACAGCCCCTAAAGAAGCAAAAAAAGAAGACAAATTCAACACATTATATGTTACTTGGTGGCTGTTTTTAGTTTGATTTTGGATTAATAGTTATAGTATCTAAAGTAATTTTAGAGGTTTAATGTTTTATTGGAGCAAGTAAACATTTCAACAGTTTCTCATAGTGCTTTTTTCTGACCATGACCCATATAGCAATATTTAAATAAAGGTCTTACAGATAATAGTGGTCAAATAAAGTATCCTTTTTACAAAAGCGGAAATAAAAACGTAAGTGAATGTGAAATGCCGAAGGTGAAATGAGCATACTGTAGAGGGCTAGTGGGAAGATTCCAAATGTCTTTCTTAAATTAGCATTTTGTAGTAAGAAGCCAGAGCCACAGTTTTGCACTGAGCCATGTGTTCTACCCCCCTGTCGTGCCGTCACTAATGGATGCATCTGTCAGATCATCTCTCTGGGCTCCATTTGACTGATGGTGGATCCCAAGGATTCCTCACAGCGCTTTTACTGCCTTACAATTCTCTCGCCATGTTTCAGCTTTAGGATGTTGAAATCATTTCCATTTCTGCCATTAGCGGTCTGATTGGTACAGCTGTTTTTAATTGTTGAGGTTATCAAGTTAAGAAGCAGCAGCTGTCACACATCTTTTGAGCTGTAAATGTTGGTTTAGACTTCATAACCGGCAATGATTTTGGGGGTTTAGTCAAAACATTTTAGTAAAGTGTCATAATGAGATACATAAAGTGAGAAATATTCAGACATATTCAGTCAATGCAAAGCCAGTGAAAATGTGGTGGCATTTTAGCTTGTAAGAGGTTTAGTCTTCCTTAGAAGTCCTTTTACCTCTTCTGTATTTTAAAACATTATTTGACCAGCTGAACTATCTAGAACAGAGGGGTCCAAATGTTTCAGTGAGAGGGCCACTTCAGTTAAACAGACTTGCTCAAAGGCCAACAACCCGGTATTTAAAACTATTTTGACTAGATTTTGTCGGTTCTGACTTTTAAAATATTATGTCCATATTGATTTTACGCTACATTAGCGTCATATGTAGTAAATGTAAAGGTAAAGGTGCACTTTATTAATCCCCGTAGGGCAATTCAATCCTCTGCATTTGATCCATCCTGATGCCGCGAAGGCCATCAGGAGCAGTGGTCGCCGTAGCACAGCGCCCGGGAACCTATCTCCAGATGTTGATGCTCGGCTTGGTCAGGACTACCGGAGCTGCAGGATTTAACCTAGTGAGCATGTTTTAGTGGTAGGGGAAACCGGAGTACCCGGAGGAAACCTACTCAGGCATGGGGAGAACATGCAAACTCCACTCAGAAAGACCCTGTTCCGACCGGGATGCAAACCCAGGACCTTCTTGCTGAGAGGCGAGAGTGCTATCCACTCAGTCACCAGGCGGCACGGTGTCTTTTGTGACACAACCAAAACAAATGTCAGATTAAATGAATACTGACGACTGGATTTCAACGGTTCTGAGCTTTACAACGAGGTACAGCATGACTATATTGTTTGAGATGAAGTTGGCTGGATGACGCTGTGAAAGTCCCTCAATGGCTACTTGTGTTAGCAGAGGGCCAACTAAAATGTCACAGAGGGCAGCTCCTTGCTCGCGGGCCTTAGTTTGGACACCCTTGATCTAGTGTTTCTACTAGTGACACTATTGTCTAGTAGTGCAGACTGGTACCAATATTCCATATAACTCAATTTAATTTTGTTTAGTCCTAAATCAGCAGCAGTTGAGCTCCCAATACAAGAAAGCTGCTGTCCACGGGAGAGGAAATGTTTGACAATATGGTACGGGACTGCCAACTGAAAATGTGACCCTAGTAGCAGATTTAATAGCTCACATTAGAGATTATAGTAAAATCAGCATAGCTATGAGGTTGATAAAAAAAATAACATTAGACAAAGTCTAACTTATATAATGCAATACATCACATATATTACAATACAGTAACCTCATCATAAGTGCTATGAGCATGAGCAATAAAATACATTGTCTAGGATGCATTGTGCTGTACAAATGTCTGACCTAGGGTTAGTTTGTATATCATCTGAATGTTTAGAGCCTGGAGACATTTCAAATCAACAACAAAATGCCTTTCATGATTAATCCAACCGGTCAATTACTAGGAGCAAACGGCCTGGCTTTTCGTGGTGAGTAATGCTAGTGTGCCTATGTTTTCATGCCTTTGAGGTTGTAAACAGTCGAATGTGCCACTCCTCTCTCTTCCACACTGCATTAAGTGAAAGCTATGATATCAGATACATTTGTTTTTTTCTTTAGCTTTCTTCCATTGCCTGGGGATGAACATTTCTCATCTCCTCTTTTCATTCCTCAACTTGCCACTCCCTAATCGTCCCCTGCCAATTGATAGATATAATATAGAAGAGCTATTACTTAATTTTTGATTTGCTCGGGCTGTTTTCCCTCAGCCGTGACTCCTGAACATTTAGACTGCGATTGCTCTTGACATTTTAATAAGAAACTTTGCAGCGCTGACCCAAAGGTACCCGCAGCATGCGTGTTGAATCACAACGCAAGCAACTGTAAATATTCCCCAAAGTCACTCCAGTGGGTAGCCGCCATTTTGCTTACCCAAAACAATCTGGGAGGATGGAATAGTTGTGTATCTATTGACTGAAACTACAGCAGATGTTGCGAGTTGTAGTTAAACATTATGAACAATTTACAGATAATTTAAAACCAATTACATCTGTTTTTGAGACCAAGCTGTTGTCAAAGCGTTATTCCTAAAATTAATTTAGATGCAGTACATTTTTTAGCTTCTTCATTTTGTGCTTATTGGAAAAACTCAGGCACGCCCTGGTTTTCTCCCTGTTTTCTGAGAATCAACATCTAGAGATAAATATGCGGACATTGCACTGTTGTGATCTAGTGGGATTGAAGGATGGGTCTCATCTAGCATCTTGAAATAATGACACAGTTATTTTACAGAAATACTGTCAATACTTTTTTAAGATGGTCATTATTTCAAAGGAGAAAAGGTCCCATCATTATCTGGGCCAAAAACAAACTGTTAATTTGAAAAAATATATATATATATATGTTTTATTAAAAGACATACTTTTAACATCAAAAAGGGACGGATTATATATATCTTCATCTATTCAAAAGTTGCATGGAAATAAATATATTCCACATAATCTATTGATTGTCCACATATTGTGCACTTTACAATTAAACACATTCTTGTCAATAAATAAAACAAAATAGTAAAACAAGACATGAGATTGTAATCCTCACCTTGGGTCCTATGAATGGAAAGACTGTTTCTTTTATCAGCTATCATACATGACACTTTCATGAAAACAGAACAAATACATACACAGAGCTGAGTGCTGTGGTTCTTTGGAAAAAGGAGTCATTATTTTTTCTTTGAAGCAAGGCTGCTAGCTAAGCGAATAACTTCTGTAAGACCACTCTGTGCCAGGAAAGGACAACCTCGTGAAGGAGGTGAAAACTAGCCATTTTTCAACATCAGCTTATCGTTGTGTTGGTGACCACATGCTAGCTGCTTAGCGAAGCACAGGACTTGAAGGTAAGATAGCCTAGATTAATGGGAACTATTAGGTTTATCCATAAAACTTGGGAAGATAAAGTAGTCTCTCTCTATTAGATACCATTTAACTGTGAAATATGTCATAATGCATTAAGTGAACTTGAAATGTTTGAAAATAGACTATACATTAAACTACATCATCGTCAAAAGTAAAGAAAAAAAATGTTTCTGGCCCAATTACTTTTCTTTTCTCTTCAAATATCTATACAGGACCTATCCCTCAGGACAGCTCTGGTCCATTGCTGTGATTCATCTAATCTCTCGGCTACGTGCAAGCCACAAGCGTCCTCAAAACCCATGTTGTAACAGCACAATTGATTCTCAAGCCTTCAATGGCAGATTTGGAATATTAAGGCTCAAAGTGGCCTGTTAAACGTAAGCTCCTTATGACGCCGCACAACCCCACAAGACGAATGACTGCCCCACGAGCTTGTAATAAGCAGTGCCCCTGGAATCTCAGGTCTATTTCCTTTAAGCGTTAGTGAAATACAGACAGTGGGGGTGGAGGTTGGATGTGAAACGAGATGGATTTTTTTTTTTCTGAAGGAATGGTGTGTGGGCATTAGGATGCTGATGGTGCAGTGGAGGAAGGCGGTGGCTTGGGAAATCACTGGTCTGTATCATTTTGCCTCTCAAAGCCGCCATCAGAAGTGTTTTTCACAGTTGTTCATACATAAGGATCCCCACTTGCTCTGCTGTTTTACACTTAAGATATGTTATGCTTAATATTACACCAACCCCGAACTGCGTGCTCTAGATCTCAGAAATATGCTCCTTGCTGCACAAGACTTCAAGTCACCTCTCATCTAATGCGGATGTACTTTGTTCAATTTGATATTTAGTCCATATGTTTTGTTGTACTCAATTTCTCTTTTTTATTTTTAAATTTGATTCATGCTAACCTTCTTGCAGGTCGACACCTGTATTTCTCCTTGTTCGGTATTGAAAACTAAATGGCAAACATCTAATTACCAAGTACAGTGAGCACTTTGTGGTGCTTATTAATTACAAGTGTAAGACATGATGTTTTAGTACTGTTTGCATTGTTACAATTCAACAGGAGAACAGTGGTGCTGCCGAGTGAGAGTGTCAGCTTCAGCTTGTTTACAGCATTTGCAGAGCTGTCATGTCCAGACTGGCCAGATCTAGTCTGCCGTCCCAGGCAGGAGTGATGGATTATCTGCCCTTAGAAGGCCATAATTCACCATTGTTCTCCATCACTCCCTGCACTGGCAATTAAGTTTGTAATTGCTGCAGGTTGTTTAAATGTGTCTGTCAGACTTGCATATGACTTTTTCCTCTTGTTAATACGAACGCATTTCCCCCTGTCACTCAGCACTAATAGACTTCTACGCCACCTGTCTCTAACACTATTTAATTCAAAAATACATCTATCTATAAAAGATGGCTTTTATGTCACCCATCTCTGCTCTGTAAATGAAACATCAACAGCAACATTTATGAGCATAAAATCAGGTTAAATTGAAAAATGTATATCCTTCAAGTATACAGTAACTGGTATACATTTCCAGCCTTTCCAAGAATGTCTTTATTATTTCATTAAAGGGACTCTCAAATTGGATTGACCATTGTTATAAATGCAAATAAGTACTAAGAAAACATAACAAAGACAGCATTTAAATTCGAGGGTGTTCTAGAGTGTATGTTATTGTTCTCCATCACGAGTCTCATGTGCCCAATTCCCACTTTGTGCAAGATGGAGGACCTGTCTATTGTGCCTTCTATACTGTTCCCCTCTGGCATCTCATCACATATACTACTGGAACATCAGGCCCCATTTACTGTCTTATAAAACAACCAGTCCCCTGCCAGTTTGGTCCAAAAATCAAAGAAAAAAAACCCAAAACTATTCCATAAACAAAGACAGACACTGCAAAGTCTGGCCCAGTAAAACTGCCGTATGGGAGAAAAATACACCTCACAAGCAATTTCATCTTTGCCCCTCTGAGAGTTCTGTTTTTCTTTGCCTTCCTCAATATCCTTCACCTCATTATATCCCTACATCACAATCATTACAGTTGAGGGTGACATATAATCACCATCCAATGTAATTGAACGAGACTGTTTTCAGCGCTGTTATTAATATTATGACCTTTCCATGTGTTCTAGTTGAGGAAGGCGGTGATGGACCACATCTCCGACTCGTTTTTGGAGACCAACGTCCCGCTTCTTGTGCTCATTGAGGCAGCTAAGAGTGGAAACGAGAAAGAGGTCAAGGAGTACGCCCAGGTGTTCCGCGAACATGCCAACAAGCTGGTGGAGGTCAGTCATCAATAATGCATGGGGGCACCAACACACACAGTCATACCCTCTCTATATCTGCTCATCCTCCAGGTCAGAAATAAAATAATGATGTGCATGTTCATTTAGATGAGCTCTGCAATGTTGGCAGCCACCATGTTTTTTAGATTCTTGTCATATAATTAGAATTTGACTTATAAATGTCCATGAGAGCTGGAGGACTCTACACGTTAATGCGCCATCTTGAAATACAGTGCTTGATAAGGGAAAAAAAGTTGTTTGACCATATGTTGGGGACCACTATCAAAGATGACATATTGTCCTGCGAAGCTACCTTAGTACTTTAAATTACACAATATGATCTACAGTGTACCTTTAAGCAGAAGTGTAATTTTCTTACCAAAATGTGTCGAATTGAGTAACTGCTTGCTTTGTTTAGCGTGTGTGTGTGTGTATGTGCGTATGCGCCTGCGTGCGTTCTGCTGTGGTGAGTCGGTCAGATCCACTTGCAGATGTGAGTACAGATCCCACAAATCTATGCTGCTCATGTATTTTTTACGTGTTTGAATGTGCCCTTGCCTGCATGTGAATATGGGAGAGTTTTGTAAAAAAGTGCTGTTTCTTGAAAAGTACCACATACATTATAAGAAAACTATTGAAATACGGCATCTCTCCCACTGTGTTATTTTATCTTATCTCTGATGATTGACTCCTTGCTATTTTGAGCTCGGATATTTGACATTTTAGCACAAACGTTTAATTGCCCTCGCTCGGTTGAATCTAGAGTATTTTAGTATGAGTTACCTATTTCCCTCTCATCAGCCATTCAAAGAAGAATGTAAAACCTTTTATACTCTTATGCATCCCCTTTACTGTCAACTACGACAGTACTGTCTGTACCCCTGACATGAGCTTCAGAGTGACTGATTTGAGTGGCCTTTCGCTTCGCCCCAGCTGTTTGCAGATGAGGGACAATCTGACGGATGATGTGCCCAAAATCCACCGTTTTGCATAAACGTTGACAACATCATTTAAAACTTTAGTTTGCTTTAGGACATATAGAGCAGATGGCCGCTGCTGTCTCATAAAGAGGAAGGAAGCAGATGTCACAATGTGATAGTTTTTGGGGGGCATTTAAAGCTTCAGTAAGCACTGCGTGTGCAAAGAACTGAACCTGGTTACTTATGAATATTATTGAGTGTTGGCAATGTGTTAATAGAAGCAAGGGATTTTATTATTTTTACAGTACCTTGAAAAAGCATTCATACGCCATGAACTTGTCCACATTTTGCCTTCTCCCCCAACTTTCACTTGTGTCAGTTTGCGCTGAGAACACTGGAAAAAAACAAATCGCAGGCTGCAAACTCTTAACATGACTTGCCTTTTATTTCACTTTGCGATTCAGTCTAGAATGTTTCTGCAGCTTGATAGAGAAAAAAAGAAAAACACCATTTGACAACTGCTGATGAAGTGCTTCCAGCTTTGTGTGCTCTACTGTACCTTTCATTTAATCTTATTCCACTTTTTAATGTTATAAAAGTCAATGGGAGTTAACCTTTCAGGCTTTAGCCCCTAAGTTAAGGAACATCATTCTCCTTGGGCTCTGTATGGAGTTCACGTCTCTGCCCAGGAGTCAAGTCCAAGTCTCTGGACCCACAACTCCAAGTCTCGGTTTTATACAGCTAAATCAAGATTATTATTAAATATCAAATGAAATACAACATTTGCAGATTTCAATTATCAAAACTCACTGTCCACCTTTTATTTGGGCAAACATAATGTACCATATTTGAAAACTGTACTACTTATGAAGAAATTTAAAGTTAGGTACCCCAGTTTTGGATGAGCTTACATTTTATTTATCATCATATTTAGGCATCAAATAACCCTAAAAGACACTGATTATTTTTAAGTTCCTCAGATGATCACATGTTTAGCCTCTCGTGTTGGTTAGAGTTTACCATGAAGCATCAGATGGAAACATGGAGAGAACATAATAATAATAATAATACATTGCACTTATATATTGCTTTTTTGGACACTCAAAGTCTCTTGAAAACATGGAGACTTCTGCTCCCATGTTCCAGAGCTCATTATTGCTGCATTGACCGCATGTTTTGGGCCTGTGCTGCTCACTTGCTTGAGCTGTTCCTGCACTGGTCATGTTGTGGCCGGGCTCTTTTTGACCAAGGCTGTTTAGTTTTCCAATCCATTATACTGTGGTCAGCCCTGCGGCCGCCAGAGCCTGCCGTCATTCGGTGCTTTTCCAGAATGTACACTTATGGCCAGTTTGCCCCAGTTGACAAGCCTACACCGGACACTGCTCAGACAAAAGGGAGAGAAGAGTAACAGTTTTTTTTTTTTGGATTGCTCATCGCTGTCATATGAAAATTACGGCTGATTCGTTGAAAGGAAGTTTTATCATTTGTTGTTGATCTGATATCCTTGTTTTATTGCACTCTGGAAAGAACGTCGTGATTTCTATCTCGGAAGGTGTTCTATGAATAAAGATGTACTTTATTGAAATTTCAATGTTTTAAGCGTCTTTGAGTGTCCAAAAAAATGCTATATAAGTTTGATGCATTAACATTATCATCATGTTCTCTCTTTGTTTCCGTCTGACGCTTCATGTTAAACTCTGACCAATATGAGAGGCTGTGATTGTCACATCTTAGGAACTTATAAATAATAATTATTTGGTGCCTCACTCACTTTCTAAGACAAAAGGTGTGACTGATGGGATTTGCAAAAAATGACTGAACCTAAACTTTCAAAACATTTTTCCCCTTCGGCCCTGTATCAGCCAAGCCCTGGCGATCCAAGATGGGGCCCCATTCAAATGAATGACTTGTGCTCAGTAGCGCATGGGACACACGGGGACATAGAGATACCAACTTTGCCTGTATTTGGGCATCGTCTGGTCCTCTTGGTTCTGTGCAGTGGACGAGCTCCCATGCGTTGCGCCAAATACGCTTGTGTTGATCTCATGCACGTGCACAGAGGGGCTCGGCCGCTCTTTGACCAATCAGAGCTGCTGATCAGAGCAGCGGTGGAGTGGAGCCAGAGCAGGAAGGAAAACAGCAGAGTTTGTGGCAGTAAAGTGTGGATTTAAAGAAAATGGACACTAAAATCCCCACAACATCCGACCTTTATGAAAGCTTTAGGTTCTCTGTCAGCGGAGGTCGCGCTGTTTTAGTTTACATTGAGTTCTTTGGGACTGATTATTGGGTAGCCCACGCGAATTTAGCCTGCAGTACCACGGGCGCCCCCTGTACCCATGGGTGGGTGTGAAAAAACTATAAGCTAGTAATACCAGATACTATTATAGATTCGTGGTATCAGCCAGAAACCCTGTGAGGATCACTGCCGGCAGAGGCTGCAGCCATGCTGTGCTTTGGTCCTCCCAACAGTGTTGTTTATGACGCTTGGCTTGCTAACCTGTAGATGCATCATTGACACTGCCAGATATGACATCTCACATACTGGCAAGATGCTGATATCTATGTGCAAAAGTCAAAGTTGTGAAGTCAGCCCTGTGGGTTGTATCGGATTGTAGCAGTCAGAATACTACACTATACACTAAACCATTTTTTTATTTGACCTGTTCTAAGGTATTCTCAGCTTTGGTCGGTCTCATCACCGCTCCTTGTGCATAAAAGGTTAATGCTATTCTAGGATTGTTTTAGTTTGCTTCTCCAACTGGATCAGTGACTGATTCAAAGTGGCATGTGGCAGCCCCTGCCCTTTAATAAACCAGTGGAGTGTAGAGTTCAACTGGTGATCACACGTTACAGTTTGGCCGTGAATGCATACAAATCCAGACTTCATACTCTACGTGCAGCTCCTTCGCAAAACCCCAGACCTCCAGTTGCTACTGTCAAATCACTGTTGAAGATTGCAATATAATTAGAAGGGAGATTTGTTGGTGCACCATTCTCTACAATCTTGTCTCTGAATGTGCTTTGTAAAGTTTTTATTGTTGAATAGTTTTTTGTGATTTGTGTAAATTTGTTTGATTCACAAAGCCTTGTTAAATTGTAACATAAATGTGTCATTAATGCAAAATAAGCTGAATCTTAATTCTGATTAAGTAAACCACTTTATCATATAGGTCATAAGTACTGACAACCATTAAAGCCAAATACATTAATATTTAGTCAAATATTGCATAGTGATGATAATCTGGTGGGATGTCAATGTGGATTTTTATTGAGTACACACAGGCAGAGATATGTTAAAGGTAAAATGCTGTTACATTATGTACAGTAAAGACATGAAATGTTGTACCTGAAATTCAATTATTTAATCATTGGGACACTCTTTCCTGTTGGAGTGGATTCACTCCCTAAACCAAAATACAATTTAATCTGTGTCATCTCCAAAATGTATTGCCACATTTATCATTATTTACCTGACAACAGCTTCAGTCATCTCATCATCCAACCACAAAATGGAGATCACCCTTTTGTCAATGAGTCCTTGGGAAAAGCGCTAAAGTGTGATGGAATTATGTTTCCTCTAAATAACATACATGGCTTTATAACATACTTTTGAATTTGGTTGGATGGTTTGGCTTTTTTGTTTAGAAAATGGTGCCTTTGGTAGTCACAAACAATTCCTTTTATGACACCTCGTTTTACTGTAATAAAGAGCTGTATAAATGCAGACAACACATAAGATTGTAATTGTCCGATTATTAAAAAAAATGCAATGTTGGTTTAATCTTTATAATATATTTGATTAAAATGTTGAATTTGATGCACACATGTGGTGGCAGCAGCAATGGCATGGATTTGTCCAATGACCAAGGTGACCAAACCAAAGTTACTTCTGTTTTTTAAAATTAGTAGAGACGGTGTTCAGTGGCTTATTTGTTTGTGCAACATAGAAAGAGTCTTATAAACAATACATCACATAACATATATCCTAACTCAAAAGGAATTAGCAGATGTCCAAAGAACTTGTGGATGCCGAAAGTAGAATTATTTTATTTTTTTCCTCCTAAAGATTAAAGAAAGTGC